GAATTAACGATTTGTGCCCGGCACTTCAGATACGGATTTATTCTGTTTATTTATCCCCTATGTTTAGCGTGTTTATGAGGACAAAAAATTAATCTAGAAATCCACACATCGTTCTTGAAAGTGAGCACCTCCATCTTGACTCCCAGTCATTGTTCTGAATGTTTCTTTGTTTTCTGCCATTGATCAGGGTAGAAAGGAAGAAAATTAAAGCATGGTTTTTCTCCACCATTTGCATTGTGTAATTTTGCTGTGACTGGACTAAACTGGATTGTGTTTCTTGCTAAGTTGTGAATTTACACATTTGAAAAGAAAACCAAGCATCATATGAAAAAAAGATTAACTCAAATTACAGATATTTTCGATATTTTATCCAATCGTGTGATATTCCAAAGATTGGACAATTTCAGCTTAAAAGCCACACCTTTAGAAATCTTTCTTCACTAAAATGGAATCTGTCAAATATTAATGGGATGTGGTGTATTTGAGTTCCCCTGTGGTAGTGTTTACTGGTTGGATTGGAAGCATCCCATTTACAGACAGCCAGACCTTTTGTGAAGGAGTTAGACCTTCCTTGTAATAACTGCTGATGTGTCCCTGCACATTTTCAGCATTGCTGGCTGTTTGAAACCTGCTGCCACATATAGTAAATGTAAAGCAGTGAAGTGTCAGTCTGTGATTCTTATTCTTGAGGCACTCCGATGTGAGTTCATTTTTCTTTCCAGCAGTCTCTGCTCAGGGAGTCAGACGTTGCTTTGGCTTTCCTGTGACGGGTCTGACACAGAGTGGAAAATAAACCAAGCCACCAACGTGTTTAAATCCTTGGTCACTCTTGATCTGATCTTCTTGTGTGGCAATTCATATCTTAGTTTCCCTGAACGTTTAATTATTTTCCTCGTTCAATTCTTGTTGGACAACAAACCGGGGCTGCACTCTTGCGATTATCTGTTTTTTTATACTTGTATTTTCTTCACAATTTTGAAATTCTTAAAGACAGAAATAAGTGCATGTTTAAAAAAAGGGGGGGGGGGTTAACTTTAGTTTTGCTTTCTCTTAAACTCATGGGTTTATTTTCTCCGTATGTATTTTAACAGTTAAACGAAGTGTTAGAATAAGGAGTTTGCATTAGAGAGGTTCTTATAAATGTTTGGCTTGTATAGTGAAAGCCATATATTTTTGTAAATGTATGCAGATTACACATGCTGGCATCATTCACAATTTATATTTTTCCCCATATTAGCGTGTATGGTTGTCTTTATATGCAGTTTGCATAGGGCAAATGAAAAACTGGAGGCAGAGCGGAGATGGATGTTGGACAAAGAGTGACAACCAGAAAGCTCAGGAAATGACTGGAGATTTTACATGTAATGCATAGTTTTTCTTTGTGATATATGATATATCCTTTGTATTGGAGCTAAGTGTAAGGTAAGAATAAAATGTAAACATACAATTTCCTAGAAATTTTAGTGCTTACATTTGCCAGACTGTAGGCCCAGGATCGCAGTACCAAAACCACTGCATTCAGATGTAGTTATTTTGTGCTTGGTGTCACTTTATGCCTAAGAGGCTAAAGCTGGAATTGTGGGTGCCACGGCTATTCTTCAAGATCTATCAAAAATAAGTCTTGGATAAAGTTCTGGAGAAGCATCTATAACAGCTGGCGTATGAAATATATCCCAAACATCCTCTGGGGCAATCTTGGGTATTCCTGAACCTATAGTGTTAAAAACACTATATACAACCATTTGTGTTGCTTGCCCCCCTTAAAAGGTAAGAAAACTTATCTGATTTGTAGTGCAACGTAGGTCTGCTGGTGCTAGCCCAGCCTTGAACAGCCTCCGTGGCTAATGTCCTCAGAATTAATTATTTCATCCAATCCAATGCTTTCCCATAGGAAAAGCATTAAATTGGCTGAGATCGTCAAGGAGGCAGGGCAAAACGCTAACCTGGCCAATCAGCATCTCCTCATAGAGGCATTGAATCAGCGCATCTCTATGGGAAAAGTTCTGTGTCCCCATGCAGAGCGTGAAGATGCTGGACACTGCAGCACTGACCCAGGAGGCACTTCTTGTAGTCATCTAAGGATTGGCAACTAGAGGTGTCCCTAGGATGTGTAAACACTATATTTTCTCTGAAAAGGCAGTGTTTACAGCTAGAAGCCTCAAAATTAAGATGCAGTAGTTTGGATGATTATAATGTCCCATTAAATTATACTCCTCTACTTGCTTTACTAGTTTTACCAAGAATGGTCAAACATTGTAAAATCCAGCTGTGCAAAGTTGGTAAAAACTTACTCAAAATGTCTAGCCGCTGTAATTGTAGCCAAATGTGTTTACTTAGTAATTGAGGAAGAATACTTATGCAACCAGTAAATGTTTGCATTTTAGAATGGCAAGCTTTATATTTCTTTATATAATTTTGTGCCTTCAAAGTTTTGACTATGTGGTTTATAACTGGAAAATGTGATAATGTCAAAGACTGGGAAATTCTTGCGCAAGGCATTGTAAATCAACTGTAAATAATTTATTGTTGGCTAAATATTGTGCCTGAAAATATTTTGTAAAGATCTTTTGTGTCTTTAAACGCTGACGTGTGTATGCTTACTTTTGTTTTAGTTCTCAAGGGCAAGCAAGAGGCAAGGTTAATCAGTTAAAGTTAGGTCAAAATACCAGCAGCCAAGTTGTGTGTTTTTGTTGTTTTTTTTTTGGTAGCGCTTAATCTTTATTGGTCATGTTGGTCAGCTTTGTAGACTGTGTACTGATATTTCTCATTGATCTGTGCAGTAAAATGCATGTATTGATATTTTTATTTATATTGCACTGATGTCTAACTTTGGCTTTTTAACTATAATTCTCACAATATTCCAACCAGCATTATGGTGCTAAATCCATCTCTACTTTATCCTGTAGAAAAATAAAGGCTTTGTAAAGATTTTCTTTAAGTGCCATAGGTAATTAGGCAAAGGTTCCATTTTACCTTAAGTTTCATTTCAATTGTACAGTTTAGAGTACTCCTACACTTATTGAATATGGCTCCTG